ACATATATGTTTTTCTTTTCTGAAGGAAAGAAAACCATTTCACCAAATTAATATAGTATGAGGTGTTAAATAATTATGATATGATTTCTGTGGATTTATTTACCAGAGGGTAAATTTAACTTCAGCTTCATAATTTTTCTGTGGTAATTTCTTTTCCATTCAATTATCCTTTCTCATACTGTACTCCAGTTTTGAATGAAATAAAAGCAGCACTGCTTCATGCTGCAGTCTTTGGGTTTTCGAATTTGATTGCATTTTGGTGGTATAAGCTGCTCAATTTTGTTTGCCATGTAGGGATGAAAAGGAGGAATTTTGGAGTTTGTCACAGTTGTAGAAGCTCCGATCACTACTTCGAAGATTGCAAGAGAAAAATTCCTTGTCTGCGGTAGGAGTGGGCACTTTTTCCCAGAACCAATGGAACCGGACCAGAACCGGCCGGTTCGGTTCCGGATCTTTTAAAAAATAATTTGATTTCGGGCAAATTTTTAAGAACCGACTGGTTCCGGTCAGGTTCCCGGTTCTAGTATGGGAACCGCGGGAAATAGATGGCTCTCATTGGATTTTTTCTTTTTTCTTTTTTTTTTTGGGTAAAATATATGACTTAATCTCTAATACTTTCATAAAAAATAATCGGGTTCCTTATTAATTTTAAACTCTAGCACTTTCCTTCTTCTCTTTGATTTTTTCATTGTCTCTTCTTATAATTCTTTGATTAATTGATTTTCAAGTCAAATTAGAATATTTGGTAAATCTATATCTAAATAAATTTATTTACAATATATAATTTCATTTATAAGATGCGAAATTTTTATTTTATTTTCACTTTGATTACATGATTTTTATTTTGTTTTCACTTTGTAAATCTATACTTAAATAAATCTTTGAATAACATGTTCGGTTCTTCTATATTTTGTTAAAAGTATCACGTTGGAAGTATTTTTAGAATTTTTATTAGTGAATATTTTATTTTTAGACATTTTCAATATAAAGAATCGGACCGGACCAGACCGAATCAGAACTTCTATAGCTAACTATGGAACCAATGATTCCATTTCTAAAATTTTCATTGGTATTCGGTTCGGTTCGATTTCCTTTGGAACCGGATCAAACCAAACCGTGCCCACTCGTAGTCAACGGTGTGTAGTCGGAATTCGAAAATGTTTTGAGGTTGAAAATGAAGGCAATAACAAAGGCCGACTTTTCAGAACTTGCAGCAGCTCTTGTGGATTTTTTGACTGGGTAACAATGGAAGAATTGAGTGTAGAGTCGAGTGCCATTAATGAAGTGATGAATCCTACTACCAATGAGGAAGTCAATGAGTTGCCAGGCATGTTCGAACGTCTAGCTCGAATTGCAAACGAACAAAATGTTGAGGTTTCGTTGAACTTGACATATCGCAAAGGAAAGAGAGCCGTTAGAGGATAATGGAAAAGGAAAGGGGCCAGAATGAAGATTAATTATGTTCATTTTTGCACTTACTTTAGTTTGATTTGTTGGGCTTGTGATGTTATGAGAGGATGGAAAAAAAAATGGAAGAACCCAACAAGTGTTATTATTCTAGTTTGCACTGACTTTGTTTTAGTTTTGTCTTGAACATTTTGGTAATTTAAAGTAGTGATCGACATTGTGTGCATGAATTAGCTTGTGTATTGACGGGTGTAAGTGTGTTTATAGGTGTTGGAAAGTAGGGCATTTTAATGGAACTATAGGTGTAGATGCTCAATTTGCTGTTGATTTTGAGCACCTATAGTTTAAAGGATAAGATCACATTAACAGAATAATTCCTTATCTATTTCAAGAGGGCCTTATCAGTATTAAGGTTCACCCTTATATTTGAGGTTATATTTTGCTTACAATACATTTCACGTGCTATACTTTCATATTGGATTCATTTGAAAGGACAAAACTAATTGTTTGTGGAATTAATTGTGCCAAGTAGTACAAGAAGATCAAAACCACTACGTCTGCATAAGCTCTATTTGGAGAATTCATTGCTTTGTACGAAAGTAATATAGTGTCTACCTCATATGTAACAGTGCCTCTAGATGTTGATGGCTTGCTATGTTGCATTTCACATTTCACGCTTGCTATGTTGCATGAACATCAAGATTTTTTGACCTACATCCTAGCAAATGCAACCGGCTTTGTTAGGTTTTAAAGGCAACAGGTTACAATAGTATGCATATAAAATGCTTTTGGATTAAAATCAAACGAAAACCACCCCAGAAATATCATAAAAGGCATTAGCAAGAAGTCAATGAATTAGCTAAAGAGATATACAAAGTCAAAAAAAGTGCTCAAGATGTGTGCTTACCACTACAGAAAGATTTATCATCTAGATGTGTATGTCCATATAAGGTAGTGTCTTCTATGAATAGGTCATTTGGTAATTTATATTATCCAGGAAGAGGAATAGAGATCACAAATGTGAAATCCTATCAGAAAAAGTGGAAATGGAATAATTCTAAAACTGAGTGATACGTTGCCTCAGGCAAATAATTTACAGCCATAAAGTAAAAGAAATCATAGGAGAAACGTTGCCTCAAGCAATAATCTACCTGTTCTTAAGCTCTTCGAATGGGAATTATATTTTGCAAGATCAATGTACAAGGTAGAACCCCTTTAAAGGTCATACACCATCCTCTGATTAGAACATTCCATATCAAAAAAATGTTGTTGTTTATTAAAGATAGCATACTCAACCCATACTTTATATAAAACTGCAGAAGCAAACAACTCTATATAAAAACCCATGCTAAACCATTCAAGTCACAATAATTCAACAAAATGCAGAAGCAAACAACTCTATATAAAACTGAAACTATCAAGAAGATAGCAATCTTTTTCAACGTGAACAATTATTTCATGGCACATGGCTTTGTCAAAATTCTTCTCTTCCAAAAAAAAATAGCATAAATAAATGGCACCTCCTACAGTAACTAATCAAATTCAATTTTTCATAAGCAGAAATCCACATCTTTTAATATTGCTTTGTTGGCTTAAAAATGAATGATTTCTAGTATAGTCTTCTTCTTCTTCCTCTTCCAGTTAGTACTTAGTCAGGGCCACCTTGTTGGGGAAAATGTGGATGGTAGTATGGAATCGAAAGACCTATTATAAAATATGAACATAAGCACATGGATAGTACAAAATCAAATGGAAATGGAAAGATGTGAACATGTGTAAACCTTGAGAGGTCAACATGGGATTTGTTGACGTTGACCGAACTCAAGTTTGATAGGTGCTGCGGGTATGCATGAATTTCAACATCTCCCTACATCGAACAATAACTCAATTATTAGTATCGAACAAATAATGATATTAAACTAAGTCACATTAATATACTAACCACCAGTAGTTGTGAATATGAAAAAGGAGACTGCATTAAATATGGTTGAGACGCTTAAACGACGGGTGCAACCAATGGCATATTACTGTGACTCGACCGTTGCCTCTTTCCCTTTGACGTAGTCTGCACGTAAACATATCTTACAAATATGATGTAGTGTAATATAGTTTACATTAACAAAAGTAATGACAACCATACCTTTGGTTTCTTTGAACAAGACTCCAACAGACCTTTTTTTCGAAGCTTCCTTGGTGCGCACTTTCTATTGCTCGACATTGGATCACATACGCACCCGCTTGCATTTTCTAAGTCACCAACAACATGTAAAATGACATTACTCCCACTATCTGACTTTATAGCGAGTAGCTATTGTTTTTGGTTACTTATCCACGCCTTTATCGCCAGGGACAACACTTCATTATCAGCAGCGAGGTTTGCAACCTCTGCAAATTCCCAACACATTTCATCGTATGGGTACTAACCAAACCAGCGTAATTAACTACAACACTTGTGTGTGCTCTACAAACGTCTCGCCTCCATCGCCGTAGTATATACCTCTCAGGCAGTGATGTGACATCATTACGGATCAGTATGACGATAGCATGTCGACACAGAATTCCTCGAAACTCAAACAAGTGACAACTGCAAATAATTTCACACGTATCTCTATGGAACGAGACAAAGAACTTTTTTATCTTTCATCGCTCGTCACACATGACAACCTCACGTAGTTCATACGTTATCCCTGCAGTACCATCCATAGTAGATATGATGTCACAATAAACCTTCCCATTGAGTTGACTTGAACTTCCCTGAATTTCGAAATGGTATAACACTTCTGATACTGCTTCTCCATTTCAAACGTTGTTGTACACGGTACCATTTGCGAGTATGACTTGAAGGCAGCCTGAAACTCCTTCTCAACTTTATTCTTAAGTGCTCGTTCATATTGCTCGACGAACTGTTTTAAAGAGGTCTTCGAATGAACATACCTGTCGAAGAAGGCATTCATACTCTCACTGCGCTGAGTTGTTGACATTCCTGCCCAAAATGTGGTCTTCAAATAGCAAGGAACCCATCGACCTCTATTTTCAAACAGTCCCGATAACCAATCATTACTATGCAAGTCATATGTGTCCAGCATCGCTCTCCAACCTTCTTCGAATTCTTCAACAAACTGCGAATCATACACCAAGCCATGTATGCTCGAAAAAATTGAAACCTTATCACTGTGGTATCCAAAATTTTCTGGCAATTTCATCAGAATATGCCACAAACACCATCGATGTTTTGTATCCGGAAAAACAATCCCAATCGCATTTTGCATAGCCCTATCTTGACCAGTAATGATTCCCTAGGGAGCTTTTCCATACACACACTGAAGCCACGTCCTGAATAGCCACACAAAAGCATCTGTGTCCTCATTCGACAACAAACCACAATCGAATAGTGTTGATTGTCCGTGATGATTAACACCAACAAAAAGGACAAGAGGCATATCGTACTTGTTAGTTAAGTAAGTGGTGTCAAATGTGACAACGTCGTCGAATTCTTTGTACGCTTCCCGACACCTATTATCTGCCCAAAATACATTTCTCAAACGAAACTCATCATCCAAATCTATGCTGAAGTAGAATCCCGAGCATTGGGCTTACATCCTAGAAAAGTAGGACTGTATTGATGCGACATCTCCTTCCCCAAGCCTTAATCGTCTCACTTGTTCAACATAATTTCTACGATCATTTTCCACGCAAGTAATATTTTCATATCCACCCGCTTCAACAACTATGGAGTTGTAGTTTTTACGCAATGGAATTCCTACCATATCATTTACTTCAAACTTCCGTTTCACATGTGAACTCAACTCCCAATTACAGCGATACAACTTCGACTTCGAAGGACTTGTTTTATGATTGTGGTCGAGGTGGACTTTGTTAATTCTCCAAATCCCATGATAATCTGAACATGCAGTGATCCTGGCTTTACAATTTGTCTGAATTATTGGTTGGGGCTTTAAAGAATCGCTTGTACTAGTTGTTCTTCGGCCTTCACGGTTACATGTGAAGGTGACATATTTCATTTTCCCATCATCCCCTTTTTTCGAATTCCTTCTCCTAACTGGAAACCCAACATAATACGCATATCCTTTATAAAAGTTCCACAATTTTTTTTCTTCATTGAAGGTCATTCCCACCTCCGGCACCATCGGATCATTTTCTCCTAACGTTTGCTCTTCCAATGATATTACATTGTCTGCAACATTCTCATCAGCAGCGTCTTTCATATTTGCTCCTATTGTAACACAATGAGTGACATTGTTCAGTACATCTCATCCTTCAGTTATAGGCAATTTATAGAAACAGAGAATCTCATATTCAACTATAAAAACGACACTATAATTTTCAAGAAAGATCAAGGTATTGACACTATAAAAAGGACACTACCATCTCAAACAACCAACATTTACGAATGTTTCGATTTCGCACTGTGCATTTTCAACAAATTTCTGAGAGATCGAAATTGGACCAAGATGCTCCAGTTTCTGCCCAATATGGTACATAATAATCAAATGGGTTGAAAAGAGTCAACGAAATATGTAGTCGAAAATTTGTGTATCCCATAAAATGTGTGATTAAAATTATTTCTTTCTTTTAAAGTATATTTTAATCACTTTTATAGCTGAAGCAATATTTAAAAATTACTTATGAAAATCACGCACAGAAAGAGTTCAAGTAGATGCAATATTAACAAATGAAAGCAAATCAAATTACAAATGTGATAGTAAAGGTGGTCATTTTGGTTCAGAAATTTGAAATTAATAATTTTCAAAACTTTATTATCGTTTGGTTTATTTCTCGAAAGCTATAGATTTGAGTCTAACCAATTTTACATTCGTACAAATTTCAACAAATTTCTGAGAAATCGAAATCCATCTAAAACATAATGACATTACCTGAGCTTGGCTCCACTAGGTTTTCCGGTGTCGGGGAATTGCAGATTCGGCCACTGTCGGAGTTGGGCATCACCATCTTCACAGTTGGGAAGCAATGGCTTCAATTTGGAGGGAAGGCTTTGCAAAGGACAATGATGGGTTGGGAAAGACTTGCAAAGGGCAATGATGGGTCGAGAGATTTCGCCTTCACCGGATGTGAAATTCACGACCACACTGAGAGTGAAATCGACGGTGAAAAGAAGGCGGAATTTTCGTTTTGGTGTTCAACGCCTCTATCGGCTTCAATTCTGCTGGGTTCAAGATTTTCATTTAGCTTATTAGATTAGTCAAACTGACCAGCTGCTCCCTCACGTGAAATGCACGTGGCATCTAAAAATTTTAAATTTCTGTGGATTTTCTGTGACCCAATTATGTACATAAGGCATTAGTGATGCTATTAATGTGAAAACAATTTTCATGCTTCCAAGTGTCATAGTAAGATTGGTTAATATACTAACATAACCTATAAAGTGAATTGTATTCCCTACCCAATTCTATTTGTGATATGCATCCCCAATTCTAATTGCACCAAAATTCAAATTGTGAACACCCTATGGGTGGCTATAAATACCACAAGAATGTCAGATTAATCATCAAAATTTTATATACACACGACAAAGAGGAAGAGAGAAGGTATAGAGGAAGAAGAAAGAGTTTTCACGTGCAAGCAATTTATTTGGTTTTCAAATCTATCAAGGTAAGATACTTTTGTATCAGTGGTTTGTTTGCGTGTACTTTTATATTCAGTAATTTATGCATGAATTACCAATGGACCTTCGGGTTCTTTAGAAAGAGACAAGAAATCCTACAAGAATTTAAGAGATGAGTGTGTCACTTGATTACCAATATACTCGATATGAGAAAAAAGTGATATGAAGTGTTTTATTTTATTGTTATATAATTATCTATGAGAACTGCACGTATCTTACTAGTATTTTTAAATATTCACTCTTACAATAAGGTTAGTTTGGGTCGATTGAAATTGTGGCGGGATGATGATGAAGATTCGAAAAACGAAAAGCATTAAGTTTTCTATCTTTTAAGTTGTTAGTTGGTTTAATTTGATAAAAAAAAAAAAGGTGTTATTTAATTAGTTAGGTGTTTATTTTTTTTTAAACATCGATGTCAATGATTTAATTTAGATTTATGAATATTCCAGCTATTTTATAAAAAAATTATTTTTATCGTTCCGTTTTTAATAATTAATATAAAGAAATGTAAATACTTGGTAACATTTCAAAATTTATTAAAATTTGGGGGTGTTACATCGAGATAACCCAACGAACTTAATAACTCGAGTCAAAAAGGCTATGAAATGAGTCCTAATATTCAACAAGTGCAAAATCATCTTTTTAAGCACAACAAAATTATATGGGGCTTAGATCCCTAGCATGTGGTTATTCCCTAGCTTATATTTGTTAGCAAAACACACTCCAAACAATTTTTTTTAACATGAATGGAATCAACACTTCTATATAATATCATTCACCAACTCGACAACCCGAAAACTTATCTTGCAGTGTGGTTAAGTGATAAAGAATATATGTTAATATAAATTTTCAAACAACTTACAACCCAGTTCAACCAATTTAAATTCTCTATCAATAAAAAATTTTCACATCTAGAAAATAATTATTCATAAGTATTGTGCTCAAAGTAACTTGGGATCTCACATGGACAAGCAAATATTAAAAAAAAAAAAATTAGATAGAAATAGCATATTGTTCATATATCATGAAAAAATAACAATTTTAAATCTGAAACAATCTTAAGCTGGCAAGGCTATCTAGCATATCAACACAATTAGCACAAAGTAAGCACAATAACTCAAATTTAAATCACACATTGTTTTCAATGTGTAAAGAACAAGATAAAATAAAAGAGGGGATAACGAAACTTCTCCAATTGGATATTTGTGAAGGGGTATTATTACTTGATTTGGACTTGTCATGCTCTTGAATAGCTTGCGTAAGTGACGTCGTACACTAATTTACTCCAAAACTTGGCTTGGAACTATGGATAAATGGGAATTCAAAAATTACCTACAAAAATATTGATAACTAATCAAATAAAAACAAGAAAATACATAAAAATAAATAAAAAGATTAAAAGTTCAAAATTGGGTTGACTCCCAATAAGCCCTTTTTTATAGTCTTTGGCTCAACTTTAACAATTGAATCATAGACATCTAAAGAAGGCTTGGATGCCTTGTCCATTTTTCTTTGTTTGGCTTTGTTCCACTCTTCTTTATATCTTCAAAACTTAATATTACCTCTTTTCATATAATTTGACTCGTATATTCCATCCAATTCAGATTCAACTATGAAGATTTTCACATCCTCGTCGAGCTTAATTACAAAATCAATATCTTGACAATCAACTAAGTCAAAGAATGTAAGTTGATTTTCTCCTCATTGATTTAACTCCATTGTAATTAAATTTTCACTTATTTTAGGCTATTTTTCAATGGTTGAACTCTCATCGTGTTGAATGATTGGTCCACAATCAAACTCCAAGGAGAATGGCAAGCCTTTTCTATTAACTCCGTCGAGTGGATTATAACCCTACTTTTGAAATTCATCCCAATATCTGTAATCTCCCACAAGCATGTTGTCTACATCCAACTTGACAAGTTCATTGTAATACTTTGCAAAAAGCACCTCTTGTTCAAAAATAAAGAACCATCTCCTGAAATTTTTATGTCATTGTACCAATCATCAAGTACGTAATCTCTCGCAAGCATGTGACATCATCGAAATTCGTCCAATGCTTATTTCGACATTTCAAATATTATCTAAACAAAAGAAGTTTTGACATTGAGGTATCGGTGTATGAATACAAGCATTGTCCTGTACAATGTATTGCTTGACAAATTTCACGTATTGGACCTCCAATCATATATCCATAGTTAATGTAGCAATTAGACATTGCAAAATTTTTGTTACTTTACCAAGTTCAAAATAATGCAACTATAGTTGAAGAGTACAAAGAGAGAATACCAAAAAAAGATAAATTAACAATATGGAGGTCAGCAAAAACATACAAAAATAAAATCAATTAAAATAAATAAAAATAAACTGTTAAAACAAAAGTAAACTGAAGTGGTAATCAAAGTAGGAATATTCCCTAGTAACAGCGTAAAAAAATTGTTCGCTAAAAGTGCAAACCGTAAATACACGAGTCGTTTTCAAGTAATAAAGTGGACCTTTTTGAGTTCGAATTGTTGATCCTTCGAGGAATGTTTACTTTCAATTACACAACTTTAATCAATTTAATTTAACAATGAAAACAAACAAAATTAAGATTTTGATTTTGAGAATAAGGAAAGATAGCTAAAATTTTACAAAATAAGAAAACATAAGTACTTGGGGATTTCGAAGGAAAGTGTGGTTGAGATTCATGGTTTTACTTAACCGTGGCCTAATTAATTTTTTCACAAATCAGTTAATAAATTACTCATTTACAATGTTAGACTTGACTTTTCAATTTTAATTAATTCATCTCTCAATTGAAATTAACTCTAATTGATTGGTTTACTTTAGTACACCTCTATGTCGATTAAAACTAAACAACGGTATCAAATCTTTTTGAAAATAGCCAAATAGGTCACCTAGTATTAGGGTATATCTCTATCCCCTACATGAACCTAAGATATTTACTATTTGATCTAAAATGTATAATCTTCTCTTCAAATACAAATCACTAAACTCAATCATTTAATCACCAAATAAATGAAAGGCATTTAACACGATAATAAATACACATGAAAAACAAACATTTTAATATTAAAGAGCAAATATTAAAATTAATTAAAGTCTAGCTACTACTATAAATCCCAACACAAAAAACTTAGTACATTTTATATATTTGATAACAAAGGAAAATATTTATAAAATAGATCGCAAATAGAAGAAAATAATGAAGAAACAATGGGATTATAAATAAAACCCTTATTTGGTCAAATTTCTCAATGTTGCCATTGATGAATCTTGAGTTCTTCAAGCATTTCTCCAATTTCTTAATTGATTCTTCTTGTTTATGCCATTGATTTTGCTCCCAAAATATCAAGAAAATCAAGAGGAATTTTTTTTTGAAAGGGATTGACCCCAAGAATTGGGCTTTCCACGTAGCCAACCGAAAGCTATTCCAAGTGTTCCTTCCTGCGTGCAATAGCAAATGGTCAAGCGTATATGGCCGGTACTAGCGGTGGCCATTATACTCCTACGATCAAGTCAATCAACGGTGGTGGGAATGATGTCGGAATGCGCAAACTCAAGGGGGAGGAAAAAATGTAGTATCTTGGTTAAAGAATAAATCGTACATAATACTTACCTTATTTTTGGCCAAGTTCTTGTTATTTATAGGTAAAGGGCATCGCTAGATGTAAGACACGTGTGATCATTCGATGGTGCAATGTGTCTACTCGTAGGTGTCCATTTGTCGCTTATTAGGTGGGGCGTGCAATTAATTCTTCTGATTTTGAATTGACATATGACAGAGATATGCCACAGGTTTCCACAAAGTGAAATTATCGTATATGTACGGTGTCAAGTTTTGTAATATAATAT